GTTTTAGTCTTTTGAAAATAATAGTTTTCTTGATTTTTCTTAAAAATCAAGTGGCGACTCTTAAAATCAGTCAAAATCACATTTTTAAATAAAACAGAATGGTGACTTCCGCTGGGGATTTGAATCCAGTCCAAACACATTTTTAAATAAAACAAGTACTAAATAACATCCTATCCCTTCTAGTTTTCTATTTACCAAAAATCCCTTAAAAATGATGTTTGCGGGATACATAGCGTTGTGCACGGGATACATGCGGGATACATAGCGTTGTGCACGGGATACATGCGGGATACATAGCGTTGTGCACGGGATACATGCGGGATACATAGCGTTGTGCACGGGATACATGCGGGATACATAGCGTTGTGCACGGGATACATGCGGGATATAACACAAGTCAAATTTTTCGGAAGTGATAAACGAATAGTTTGGCTTGTGGTCATCCAACGTCGTTTATTAGACTTCACCCCGTTGTTTGTTCGACTCGGGTAACCGTCAATTCTCAACCAATTCTAGTCAACCTAGAGTAGAGCGAATTTATTATGTAATTTGAGAGAGAGAAGAGATTCACTATAAAATCCTAGGTAGAAATGAACAAATGATATTCTAGGTTCACTTTTGACACTTCACCCAATTTTTTAAAAATTCTTAGGTTCACCTCAAATATCCCCTGCTTGATTCATTTTCACGCAAAAACGTCTTTTATATATAAAAAATAGAGAAACGTTTACAATCCTAATTCTTGTTAAAAGGTTTTTGTCATAAAAGACATTTCAATGGTTAAAGGATATGTCATGGAAGAAAATGATGATGATCAACCACCACCCCACCCCACCCCACCCAACCATCTTCAATCACTCATCCTTCAACTCCAAGAAAACATTTTATTCACCTAAAAACATCTAACAATTATTCATTTTTCCTTCACCATAGTCCAAATTTCCTCTGTTTTGAACTTTTGATATTCTAGGAAAATATGGGTATGATATCAAGATTATTGATGTTGTCATTGTTTATCATGTTAATCTCTTTGGCACAGCGTAAAGGAATGGTAATGGGCGTTGATGAAGATGCAAAAGCGCTTTGTAGTGTAAATCTTGCTCAATTTCTTCCTCCTCCTTATGGTGGTCTCGAAAATATGGTCTGCCAACCTGTTTGGAATTCTTTCCTCCTACGCGTAAGTTCTAGATTATTTTGATTCAAATTTATGTTACATGATTAGTATAACGTGAGTCTGTTTGGTCAAGCTTTCAATATCTGCTTATTTTGAATGGTACGTTCTTTTATTAAAAATACTTGCCTTAATTACTTGTTACAGTACTCACAGACGAAAGACAATGTTGTAACGATTGTGTTATCAACTGTATACACAACTGGATGGGTAGGTATGGGATTCTCGCGAGATGGAAAGATGATCAATTCGAGCTGTATGGTTGGTTGGGTGAATCCTGAAGGACAGGGGAAAATCAGGCAATATTATGTTGAGGGCTTAACACCCTCGAAAATTAAACCTGAGAAAGGCGAGTTGCCATTGACAAGCGTTCCACCTCTCGTCTATCTTCAAGGTGCTACAATATACTTGGCCTTCCAGCTGAAGTATCCGAATCGCCTCAAAAACCAACCGATCTTGCTAGCATTTGCTACTAAATATCCTCATCACCACCATCTTACTGTACATGATGATAAAACAACTATACTATTCGACTTCTCTTCAGGTAATTGGTTCGTCTTAGCAATAGATATGTTCATTTAGTAGGAGAGTAGTGGAGAATGGAAAGATCATTCAAAGATTTATGAGTAAATTAGTTTTCCATCAATTGGTATATAATCTAATTTTCTTCAGGTAATTCATTTGACGTTTCGGCTGGACCTAATGATTATACTAGCTCAAGGAAGACTCATGGGGTATTGGGAATACTGGGATGGGGACTATTCTGCCCCTTTGGAGCGATTTTTGTGAGATATTTAAGGAACCAAAAATCATGGTATTACTTCCACGTGTCTGCTCAATTCATAGGATTCATATTAGGACTCGCGGGAGTGGTTCTTGGACTTCAACTTCACAACAACCTGCAGGTTCATATTCCAGCACATGAAGGCATTGGCATTCTTGTTCTTGTGCTTAGCATTCTTCAGGTTTGTCTCTTATCTGATTCAGAAAATCGATTACTTAAAAGATTTATAAACCTTATTCCAAAGGTACTGATCCTAATTTAAGCTGTTGTTTCAGTAACACTGAGGAGAGACTCATTACATTCCTTATTTGACTAACAATGGCACTCGTTTATTAACGTGCAGGTGTTAGCATTCTTTCTACGACCAGATAGAGACAGCAAATACCGCAAGTGTTGGAATTTGTATCATGGTTGGGTGGGGAGGATTGCCCTCTTCTTTGCAGCTATAAACATAGTACTGGGAATGCATTATGCAGGCGCGGGGGAAGGCTGGAAAATAGGTTATGGATTTCTTCTTGGTACGATAATGCTTGTGTGTATCGTTCTTGAGACGTTGTTGAGGCTGAAGAAGCTGGATGAGCCAACTCATCTTCCAACCTATCCCATGAATTCAATTTAGATATAAATGGTAATAATCCTAGCATACTATTCTCCTCTTCTGTTTAATAGCACACATTATGTCTACAATTGCTAGTAAATATACAATCAAGCCTTTCTATAACAATGTCGTTTGTTTTGATATTTTCTTGGTTACTATTATAGAGAACAGAAGACATGTTTGATGCTAGATTTTGCCTGTCAAGTCATTTTTGGATCAAGTTTCTTCCACAACTAGAGTAGTCTTTGCCAAAATTGTATTTGAACGTAAATATATGTTCATGGATCAATTTAGGTTCGAGATGTTCTTCCGAGGGGATTTTCCATGTTGTGTTCAAGAATCAAATCAAATTCTCAGGTCTACTGATCAAACAGCATCCTGCTAGTGCTGTCAAATTTTCATTATGAGCAAGAAAGAATTGAACTTTCCATTTTGTAGTTTACATTCTTTAGTACCCTTGAATGGTTAAAATGTATTGACAATTTTGTTTAATAATGAAGATTGATTGTTTGTGGAGATTAAAGGCAAAGTTGTATGAAATGATCAGTGTGTAATTTTCCCTGTTACTCTTACATAAGACACCATGTTCCCGGCACAAGGCCGTCTATTAGTCAGGCATGTGGGACACCGAGTGGGAAACCAAAAAAATACCATGATAGGAGATTAATTGATTCATTCACAGGGATGTCAATAACTCTATATTATTGGCTAAATAATACTTGAGGGAAAAAAAGACTATTTGATCAACCATAAAAAGTAAGGCAAGTTACATGAGAGAGTAGGAATTTTAAGTGAATAAAAGTTGAATAAGCTACATCAAATCTTAAACTCCTCTAACCCGTGGGTAAATATAGCAGCAAAAGCATTCATTCGAGTTTTAGGCAAAGACAAACCAATTTCCAAATCTCCATTGGAGTCCTTGGACTTAATAAGAGACATCAATATACCAGTTTGAAGAGAAACGAATTCCCATTTTTCTGGCCTTCCCCAGCCAAAATCAGTGGCGTATAAATCAAACTTTGGCGATCCAGCAACTGAAAGAGATTTAAATCGATGATCGTCTTCGTTCAACCACTCACCACTCAACACATATTCCTTATCCTTGTTCCTTTTATGAATAGTTTCTCCAATTGATTCTGCCGCGATTATAAAGCCTTCATTTCCAACTAAATCAACATGCCTTGTTTTTACAATGTACCAGACGACACAATTCCCAAAGTAAGATGAAGGAAGTGGAGGATCAAATCGCGCTCTGTAATCAACCGTACATGAGAAATATTCCATTACATTGTCATCTATTATTATATGATCAGTATCAGTATCCTCTGATTTTATCAAGCAAGCCCATACATAACCACATGTTACGGTGTATGATGTTACATGAGTCAGGCTAGGTCGTCTTGACGATATTAAATTCTTGAGTTTTTCAATTTCATTTCGTGTTATAATAAAAGTACCTCGAACTATGTTATCAGGAGGTGTCAAAATTACATGATCAGCAGTACTTTTATGTTCTTTCATTTCATCCCATAGTAAACCTTTTAGTCCATAAGGCTCTTTAACAATAGACCGATCATAAAACGGAATCATCATGAACTCATCATTTCCACCGTATTTATTCAGCAAAGCCCATGACTTTATGAACCCTACTATAGTACATCCGTCACCAACGATGTGATGGTTAATGAAACAAATAGATATGCCATGATTCGGAAAAAGTGTCACCTGAATAGCTAAAACCGGTGCAAATTGGACCCCTAATACATCCTTAGGTTCCGTCAAGTGAGGAACAAAGTGATAAATATCCTTAGCGTTACGTGGATGATCATTACTAACAAGATAATCAAAATCCATGTCAGTTTCAGAAAAAGTAACAGATACAGAATCTCCCTTCACATAACGTAATTCAGGATGATCGGTCGAATTCAATGGACAAACAAAGTTACCAGCTAGTGGTAGATAGTGTTTGAGAGTCAGGGAGAGTGAATGTTTGAGAGTAGGAATAGTTTTTTGGATGAAACTATTTTTGTCAATAGGGAGCTTATAGAATAGAATCCTAGGTACACGTTGGTTATTTAACCACACCATATCAAAATAGGTTAAAGGGAGTGTCAACTTATCTGTGGCACATGAAGGTGGTGCAACTTCACATTGCTCAACAATTGAAGCCATTGCTGCATAAAATAATAAACAGAATGTGAGACTTCAAAAATTAACCAGAGATATATTTGTTCACATGAACCCATGCTCCCTCTCTAGATCATATATAGTGGTGTTATATTTTATTAAGAATATTTAAATATAGAGGTGTGAACTCATGTTAAAAGTAGCATATAATAATACAATGATGATTTGGAGCATCTCTCTGAGCAAACATAGAAATTTAAATCTTATATATCTATTTAATTTTTGTTAGTAACACCCCTCCTAGTTATTATCGGTAACACTTTTGGCGTTTCAATCAATTTTTCTTTTGTTTTTTATTGCTTTAATCTTTCAAAATTTTCAAGTGTGTAACATTGAAAATTCCTAAAAAAAATTAGCACAGTAAATTTTTTATATTATTAAATCAAATATGTATATTAAAATCTAAAACTAGTAGTATTATATATGTTGCACCTAGAATTTTTAAAATTTAATGGTTCAATGTTAAGAACGTAAAAGTAAAAACGATTAAATTTATATCTTAAATGCATCTTTTCGTAATAGTGCACTTATCCTTTCGAAATATCCTTGATACGCCTCTGCGGCCGGGAGCTCTAACCCCTTGGCTCGTACTAGCACATGCCCAACAATTTATGCTACAATGAATATCCTCTCTTTATTTTATGTGATCTCATTTCTTTCAGATTATTTATAAAGAAAGTTCTTTTTAAATTTAAAAAGATTGACTATATTATTTTATTTTATTTATAAGTTTTAATAATTATACAAATATTATACTCATTACAAATTTAAAAGCTTGACTGTTACAAATATTATAACATATCTAATATTAAAAATTTTATTAAATGGCCAAACTGCATTAGGTGTAAAATCGGACACACAAATGAAAAATAATGTCTTAAAAATGCTGCAATCACACTACCAAGGAAAATGCAAGTGGACCCAAATGTTCAAAATTATTGAAAACACTATGATTTTCTTGGAAGAGGCTCCTCTCCTGTACACTAATCTCTCCAGTTGATTCAATATATATTTAATTTAATGACATCTGTCAATTTTAAAATTTAACGAACTCTATTTATTTAAATAAAGCAACCTTTAAATTATGGTCAAATATCATTAATCATGGTTATTACTATTTCTCTTTCTCTCTCCTCTCTCATCTCTTTCTTTCTCACTTAATTCTACAACAAACCTTTTCTCAATCAGCAAAGAATTTGCTTTGTTAACAACAAATCGCTTTTTCTTTTCATTATTTTCACACAATTGACAAAATTCAAAGGATGAACTTGGATTATAAAATTTAAAAAATCCAACCCATGAGACTATTTCTTTGAAGCTTGGTTCGATCACAATGGTGATCCACAAAACTTTGTCATCTTCTTCGTAACATCATTTTTTTCAATTTGGAGCTTCTACAAAAGCCAACAAAAGGATCTGGAAAAGGCACGAAAAATGGGTAGGAAAATATTTTTCATATATACTTTTTTTTTTCTGGTGAAATTCTCCATTTATTTTTTGGGTCTTCTTTTCTTGTGGTATTTATAACTGTAATCTTTAATTGGGGATAATCACTCCATTTCAGTATTTCTCTTTTGAGACTCTCTAGTTGTTCATATGTAAATGTAAAAACATTAAAATATTGATGTAATTTTAATTTTCAATTGTTTGATTGAGAGTTTTGGAGGGGGCAGAAGTGTTACTTTGCTAATTGAGAAAGGAATGAGAGAAGAGAGAATTACTAATAATTATGGTTAATGATATTTGATCAAGAAAATTAATCTAATCCATTAAAAATTAAATGAACACGTGTAAACTACATGAAATAGCATTGAGAGAAATTGGAGAGATCATCACTGGAGAGGAGCCTCTTCGAATTTTCTTGTACAAAAATAGCAAAAGTACGTTCACATAACAACAACCAACCAAAAAAAACTAAAGCATAAAATTCATGAAATACAAAAAATACTTTTTGGATCTTATGATCTAGCTTTTTATTCACTTCAAAATTGTTCAAAATTTATGTCATTTTATTAATGTGGTGTACTAATAGTAGGAGTTTTTCAAAAAATTGAAAAATCGAATCGAACTAATTCACTTCTTCGATTTCTATCCTTTTGTCTAATGTCAATATTTTTTTCTGATTCTTTGATTTAGTGTTCGGTGTATGGGACCCGTCTTCGTCCTTGTTTTCCTCGAACAATAGTTAGAGGCACAATGTTTTTTGATAAAGAAAAATATTATTTTTTAAGCATAATAAGTGTTCCATGGTGAAACACATCATCACTTAAGTGTCTTTTACTTTAATTTTGTTCTTATTTTACTTTTCATTCACATTAAAAAAATTATTTTAAAATCACCGAATCAAATTTAATTGGTTCAATATTTGGTGCACACTGTTTAAAAATTTAAAATCAATGAACCGAATTAAAGTTTGATAAAAGCAAACTGAAGAAGTGAACATCCACCCCTAACTGATGGCAATACTTTTTAGTCTTATCATGAATTTTGATTTATATCTCGAGCTTTTTTAGGCATTTATGGATTGTTTTCAATTCCCCAAAAGCTTAAATAAGAATTTAACGTAGTTAAAATCTATCCACTCTAATTAATTCGACTTTCAATATGGTAATTAAATTTTATTAAAATGATTTATCAATTGCAACGCTTTAATTTTCAGCTTTATTGTTAATTATAAATAAATTAAATTCAACTAACTTTTCGTTTTTTGTGTGTTTAAAACACTTGTTCTCTTTCAGGTAATTCTCATCTCATGATTTAAATCAACAATTGGATATGCAATTTGAAATAATAACTTCAAATTTCAAATTCTTCAAAAAAATAATATTAAAATTGAGATTTCAAATAGTGATTTTGAATTTTTTAAAATATAAAATTTGACTCATAAGTTTATATTTTGTATTAAAAAAACCATCATTTTAAATTTTATAAGAAGCAGGCTCATGCTCGGCGTGAAGAGATTATCCGTACCATGTGAAAGAGTGATATTAAAAATTAACTGGTTACTGACTTACTGCTATTGTTGACTAGCTAGTTAATCTTTATAAAATTAGGTACATCTGAAAATTTTAATCACAAACATTTATTGATAAAAAGAAATATTAAGATATGTGATTTATCAATGTGTCGTCTCAGGAATTAATAGTTTTCACAACTTCTGAAATTCTCAAGAAAAAAAATACAAATTAGAAGAATCAAACTGCATGTTCAAAAAACTCAATTAACTATAAACTCATAAATCTGTATCGCAATGTCCAGACGAATCCTTCCTAAACAAGAAAATAACTAGATTGTGACTAGAAACATCACATTAACATTAGAGAAAGGAATGAATAACATGTTCATAAACGTACTTACACAAAATGAGCTTGAAATTGTTGATTATCTCTAGTCTCCCAGTGAGGGCTTTCTTTGTCTATGTGAGTATTGTGGTGGCTAGATCTAGATCTAATTGCCTCTTATTATAAGTCTCCTACATCATTTTTGTTATATATTTCTATTATATAGAAACATGAAGAGGAAGACGACGAAGGGTAAATCCGTAAATAAGCAAAATGTACAACTTAAGCAATTGACTTCGTGCATGGGAGTACTGAAATTCCAGAAAAACTACCCAAATTCTTGCATATTCTTGAGGCCACATGGCTATCCACACATTGGAAGAGAAACAAAGTAATCACATGGACTTCTATAAATGTAGGGCCATGTATTCAAAGTTCCTACTTTTTTTAATATACTAATAAGTTAATAACATTCAAAAATCATATAGAGTAACTTTTTTCTTTTTCTTGAAGTAGTGTAACATCCAATCTACTCAATTGTTGTATTTTGTTATTCCTTCTCAAATTCATAAATTATTTATATATATATATATATATAAATATATACACTAGACACAACATTTCGTATTAGCAAAAACATAACATAATATATATATATATATATATATATATTTCTATTTATATAGAAATGTGAAGAAGAGGACGACCAAGGATAGTTCTGTAAATTAACAAAAATTCCAGCTTCATGAAGAAGTTGTACAATATGCAAAAAAAATATTAAATTTCTGAAAAAAAATCATTCAAGTTACAGTAAGCTGAAATAGCCACGTAGTTTCCACCCATTGAAAAAGTTGAAAATATCTTGTGTACCGTCTAAAAATGTGGGCCCAAGTCTGTCTTCAAATGGTTGTCAGCAGTCACCCCATGCTATGCACGGGCCCAATGTACATGATTTTAAAAGAATAATTATGACTTTTTTTCTATTATAGTTTGATTATCGTAAACAAATATTGTTGCTATACAATAAAAAGGGAACATCTATAATAATATTGTCAAACTATTTTTATAAATACATAAAAAAATCCTAAGTACAAATGTCATGATAAGTATGTCATTAGAATTTCTCTTATGCTCAATTACAATACTCCCCAGTAGAATTTGATATTAAGGAGAGGAAGCTACACGAGCACTTGTAAGAGAGCGAGCTGCAAATCATAATAAGCTCTATTATAAAGTCATACTCAATAGTCATAAGATGACATTCATTTACATAAATGACTCATAACTTTCAACGGTGGTATCTCATGAAATCTGGGTAGGTAGAAACTAAATTAAAGTATATTCTTTTTGTATATGTATACTGAAATTTTCCTCATATCAATGAATTCATTACTTCATCAAAAAAAAAAGACTTCCTCGAAGGCATAATATTTCTCTAAATGGATGTGTAATGATTATGCAATCACTGGTATTCATAAGTGTGTTGTCATAATAGCAAAAAATATAGGCTTTCACTAATTTGTTAAGATCTATAAGAAGAGAAATTATTCTAGGCTTAATCATGTTCAATAATTTTGTTTGAATCGTACACATGCTCTATCGATAAAGTCTTTCATCATGCTTATATATGCCTAAACAATATACATAATAGGAAATACGTACTTGAAAAATCTTTGTGAGTATTGTCCCAATTATATCTTACATATGTTTACAGTTGAAATTGAAACATGAACAAATTTGAGTCGAAATTTTGTTTACATTGCTCTGTATGTCGTCGTTATGATAGCCCTTAAGAGAACAAAAGGGTGATGTGATTTGTCAGTCTCCTTTGTTTGCTTTAACATTTAATATCATATATGTTTTCTGGGAGTTGCTACTCCTTCCCTTTAATTCATAATATAACTAGCATGAGTATAAAACTATTTTTCTATAATACAATAAATATAAATATACAATGAAATTAGTGTGATAAAAACAAATACTCTTTTTGTTTTTATTTGTTTGTTCTATTTTCACTTGACATAAATTTATTTAAAAAGAGTAAAGAAAACATTTCAATTTTATAGTTTTAAATCAAAAATATATAGAATATATCAAAATACTCTTTATGTCACGTCCCGAGCCTACACCCTGGGCGGGACCGGCACTCGGAGACCATTGCTGGCCCAAAGCGAACTCTTGGCCTGGCTTTCTTAACTCAGCGGAAACCTAACTCAACAGAATAACTCAATGCCATGCAAAGACATAAAATAACTTAACTGATGAAATCTGGCCAAAAAGGCAACTCGAGTCTCAAAATAGAATATTTACATATACATACATATACATGGATGAGAGACTCAAAACTACTGACTGACTGACTG